AGCGGACCCGACAGACGTTGTCCTGTCTACACGTCTTTAATTTGAAAATTTCAAACTTTTTTTAATAATTTTTTTGATGAAAATTATTATTCAAATTGTGAATCTAAACCATTCCCAGATCCCCTTGAACACACACAAAAATTTCATCAAAATCGGTCCAGTCGTTTGAGAGAAGTTCAGTGACATACACACTCACAGAAGAATTATATATATAAAGATTAGCGACGCACGGCTCCCCTTCGTTACGTTCGGGTTCGCCCCTAGCTTGCTTCCCAATACAAATTTTCATCCTCATTTTTATACCCTTAAAGGACGATTTCTGGGATAAAAAATATCCTATGTCCTTCCCAGGGTCTCAAACCATCTTCTTACCAAATTTCGTCTAAATAGGTTCAGTAGATCCAGAGATACCCCCTACAACGTTACAAATTCACAAACTTTATCTCTTTATAATATTAGTATAAATGTTGTAAAAGCATCAGTCATGATCAGCGGTTGTTGACGAATGATTTGTTAATGGTGGGACCGATTTGTTTTTTTTTAATTTTCATAATAGTCAGAATAGGGTATCAGAAAAAAAAATTGAATTTTAACGAAAAATTGGGGGATTCCTGAATACCGAAATGTTTTTGTATAAACTCAAATATCTCAAAAAGGTATTGAGATATGAACACGATAAAGTCTGTCGGGTTGTTTGTGTACCTACCTACTGTAGAACTTAAATGAATTTCATTAATCTGGGCTAAATATACTCTACTTTAATTGAATTGGTCAACTCAAAAAAAGCTCAAAAGCCAACTTTAAAGTTGTACTTTCTGTACTATGATTGATGACAATAACAGTGGGATCAAACTTGACAGAAAACTCTTTAGGCGCGACCTAGTATTGAACACATCTATAAACCCCTATAATCTACAACCGCATGAGCTCTAAAGGTGATTAATCACACAGTTAATGTAATTTTAATTGTACATTAAATATTATTAATAAGTACATGAAAAGCAAAATGCAATAATATTTTAGGTGATTCAAAAATCACGTTCCCACCACGTAATTTTAGACCCAATTTCAACCATTTCAAAATATTTAAGAACCGTGAGTTAGACCATTTTTTCTAGCAGCCTAATTTATACAAATACATATTATAATAATAATCTATACATATAATAAAATTCTAACAAAGCCGTATCTGTACATTAAATATTTTTTCTTATTGAAATATACATTATTATCGATAGAGAGGCCGAATTTATAGTTTTTAGAATTTTTGTCTGTCTGTCTGTCTGTTACCGCATCACGGAAAAATCACTGGAGGGATTTTGATGAAATTTGATATGGTGATAGCTGGTTCCGGGGCCGCGAGCAATGCTAGTTTTATATAAACATATAACATTACCCTAGTAGGTATTTTTGAAAATATATATTTAAATGCAATGCAATACGCAATGCTCGTAGGTGCACGATATGACAATCATAAAACGGCACTTTGATAACCAACCGACATTTTTAAGTCTAATGTAAACATTGATAAATGTAGGCGTAAATTATTATATGAAATATTATTTACTAAATAACGCTTTCTTATTCACATAACACTCAGTTTCGTACAATATGTTAGGCATAAAAATAATTTATGTACGTTATACTAATATTATAGAGGTAGAGGTTGTAAGTTTGTTTGTAGGAAGTAACCTCTGGAACTAGTTAACCGATTTAGTTTGAGACACTGGGAAGGACATAGGATTGATAGCTTTTATCCGGGAAATCATCCCTTAAAAGGGTGAAAATGGAGAAGATTGTATGGGATTATATAGCTTAATATATATTACGGGTAATACATATCAAGTAATTTCATGAGTTATTACAAATAAATCTTAGAAAATATTATAAGGTATTTATATATCCTACATTTGTAATATTCAACAACGACAATAAGTACAAACTAAAAATAACTTAGCACTAATTATTTTATAACTCAATTATGTTGGAATAAAATCGTTCAGCTCGTTCAATTATTAAAAAAATATCTCTTTGAACTTTAGCCTGATATTACTATCAGTTATTTTTAAAAGAACCAATTAGATAAGTATTAAATGCATCGATAAATAAAAACCGTTTTGGTTAATGTTACAGAAAAATAAAAAAGGGTAGTGTAAATAATCTCTTCTTCTCCCTGCCCATTTCCCAAATCACTTGGGGTCGGCGCAGTACATCTTCTGTACTGCTGATAGGATATGGCAAGATAAAAAAAAAACTACACTGAGTTAAATAATGATCAAAAAAATTCGTTGTCAATGGAATTGAACCAACATAATATTGTATAATTTCAACTCTGTACGATATGACGAAGCGGTTCTAATTCTCTTGTAAGATTTGGCTATAAAAATTACAAATTTGACACCTATAATATCTTTTTGACATTTGCTTTTCATGCATTTTTGACGTCGAAAGACTGATTAATTATTTTAAACGATCTCGACATCATTAGTTGCATATTTGCAGATATATATATATATATATATATATATATATATATATATATATATATATATATATAGTACCTGGGCCACCGAGCTTCGCTCGGAGTTTTTGGTTGAAAAGTACAATTTTCTTTTAAAAAAAAACTAAAAACTTGAATAAATACAAAAAACAAAAATAAATTATACCTTTGTATCAGACCAGAATTCGAACTCGGACACCTATGACTGTCAACCTGGCGTCTTTAAAAAAAAAACTAATAACTTGAATAAATATTAAAAATTTTCTAAAGTAAAAACTTTGTATGCGACCGAGATTCGAACCTGGACACCTGTGATTGTTGATCTTGCACCTTGGCCGCTTGAACACGATGCTTATACCCGAGCGTGCAATTTACCGACCATATTTTTGCGTGCATATCAAAAGAAAACTGCATGAAAACTCGAAAACACGAGTTTTCTCAGACATAAGACTAATCTAGATCGATTTTTCGCCCCCAAAACCGGATACTAAATTTCATGAAAATCGTTGGAGCCGTTTCCGAGATTCAGATTATATATTGATATATAAATATATATACAAGAATTGCTCGTTTAAATATATTAGATATATATATAAATATATTGTTAACTATTGATATTGAACATCACTTGAAAACGCAGCTACACTAAAATTGCTAAAACATATCTTGAAAAACAACTAGTAAGAACACAAAAAAATTGCGTCAACGACACCAAAATCGTTTTTGTAGACTTGCACTTGATATATTAAGTAACCAACACGTGTATACAATTTAACCTACAAAGCTTTTTAAAGGCGTTATTTTGCCAAATATGTATAAAACACATTTAACCAGAAACTGCTTGTGAAGATAAGAAATAAAATAAATAAATTAAAATACCAGCAAAATTCTAATTTCTCGATTAATATTCCTATTTCTCAACATGACTATAAACAGTTCTTTATTTTTCTTTTAACTTTTTTACATCCATCTTTGCAAAATCAATTAAATAAAAGCCGATTACGACTTTAAAATAATATCCTCATAGATACTGCTTTTTAAGCAACGTCGAGGCTTAATTATCATACTCAAATATGAATCTGGTATTAAATTACATAAATTATGAAGGGTATAATTACTTTTAACAACTCAACAACTTTTACAACGCCAAAAATTAATCTCGAAATCCTTCAAACGCTCACTCATTTTATTAAAACAATACAAAACTTAGTTCTGTAATGTATTTTTTTTTCTTTAATGGCTTAGAGTGTTATGTTTTTACTTTTTTTAATAAATAAATAGTTGCCTATTTCTCCGTGCGAAAGGCCGCCAAATTACATCTTGTTAGTACTACGAGTCTCTGAGCTAAGCTGCGGACAGACGGACGGACGGACATGGCCAAGCAATGTATAAGGGTTCCTTGTTGATTACGGAACCCTAAAAAATACATTGACTTCAAATAGTTCTGTACTCTTCTTGTGTTATGAGCTAGAAAGGGACAAATATATGCGAGGTCGAGCACTAGACAACTAACTCATAGTCTCTTGGATCTGGGCCCAACAAATTTTTGACCATGTAACATATAAGTAAGTAGAATAAAAGTTTGTTTCTTAACAATGATTGGTCAAAAAACCTATCAGACTTATATTAATTATTAATTAATTGCCCGCGACCTCACCCGCATGAAAAACGTTCCTTTTTTTTCTTTTTTTTAAGCCAGAGTCATTTTATTTTTCATTTTATATAATTTCATATGATTGATGATTTTGGATTTTTGATAACCCCACGAAAACTGTAAACCTATCGAATACAATATTTGTAAACAAACAAAAATCATAAAAAAATATAAATATATATCAATATTATCGATTGCGATTGCATTCGCATTAAAAAAATAATCGAGTTCTAGCTTTATAAAAGCATATTTTATTCGATTCAATCCTATTTAGCTTATCTTGCATAAAATTTACCATGTACTGTAGGTAATAGTGGCGCAAGTTTATATCACAAAATTATTAGTAACGGGTGATTAGGAAGACAAGCGTCGTTAACACGATAAGGTGACCTAACTATAACTCCTAAAGGCATCTACATACGACAACTATATTATAATTAGTTATAAAAAAATAAGGCGTACTATAAACGAAATATAAAAATAACTCTGTTTACAGCCAAAATTAAGAACGTACCTACACTCTTATACACGGTACTTTCAAAAGAAATAGAAAAAAAATAAACAAATTTAAAAATAACATATTGCTTCCTTGTGACATAATATTTAAAAAGTGTAATTCTATATTTGCTTTAGTTTTCTATTAGCGATAAAGATTATAGAATATCATATTATTTACATCCATTTTATCTGAAATCCTTATTTGTTACAATGGAAATTAAAAATCTGCTGCCATTGTTTTTTTACGCGTAAAGACTTGTGCAAATCCTAAGGATTTCGTTCATTAGTCTAACAACATTCCAGAATGTTCAAGGTACATTTTACCATATATAAACTTAAAAAAATCTATCCCAGATCAAAACCGACAATATTGTCTAGATCGTAATTAAATAGTTTATAATCATATTTGTACAGTTTGTAGAGTTTCCTTATAAGTGGTAGGTCGAGTTGGGAGAAATACTTGCGTAGTTTTTCTGCGGTCCCCGAAGTGTGGGCCAGACGTGGAAACTGGATGTGCGAACCGTTTATTGTATGCAAGGCCAGTAGAGAGTCATCCACTAACGTCTCGTATTTACCTGAAAATAATATAATTGTAAAGAAATCTTCTTTATATAATAATACTAGTTATTCATAGAATAACATATTCATTTATTCGCGGGATGAATTATAAAGGAGAATGTAACCTTTTGTATGTTTTTTTTTAAGTTTTTAATAATTATAGAATTATTATAAACAAAACATTTTAAATTTTACTTTTGTATTTAAGCGGACAAAATATATCATTTTATTAGTGGCATAAAATACTAATGAATAAAATAGTGTAATTTTTCACTTTTATATTAAAGCTCGTTAAAATTTTGCTGAGAGTTAACTATCTGATGATTATTCAAAATGTTTATTCATTATTCATCAATAAACAAATATGTAAATTGAGTATAAAAAAATATTAGATAATTAAACAATAATTATTATTAAAAAAACAAACATTGTTTATAATACAATTATCGGCATAAATATGATTAAAATGTATATCATTTATACATATAAAGAATAATGTTAGAATAAATGTCGCGATTAATTAATTATGAATGCATTTTTTACAACATACATTAAGAGGATTGTGAAGTGCCGATACGCGGCGAGAGTAGGTATTTTTAAAAATGCTATCTGTTTCATACCGCTTTGCATCCCCCCGGCAGTGAACAACACAAATACAACATACGCAAATTCTCACACACACTATGATAGCAGCAGCCGGTGACGCGCGGGCGCTTGCGGGGGGCGGGGGCGGGGGCGGCGCGACTCGGCGCAAGAGCAATTTCAAAGTTTATCTAATATTTATTATTTTAACGGTTTGCGTACAATATACATTCCCTACAAGTTACATCGCACCTTTATTCATAAACTGAAATAACTCTAAATTACAATTCTGTGGCGAATATCATTTAAAATTTGACTTGTTTAGATTGATGACTTCAAAAAATCATAAAAAAATAAATAGGTGGTTTAGATCAATTACAAAAATCTCGTTCCAAAAGTTGAAAGTTATAGATTTTTTTGTTGTTTATGTAGGTACTAATAGACCCATCGGAATCCTTTTATTGTTAAAATAATTATTTTATTGAAAACCTGAAGTTTTATGATTTTATAATGTTAGCAGGTATATAAGGAATAGAAATTCATAAAATGACCTGATCATGAATGATGATGATTTACGATTTTTTAACATATCTATGACTAAATTTTATAAAATAGTATCAACTTAATTTTTTTAAATATATTTTTAACTAATGAATAAACAAGATTAGATTACGAATGATATTCATTTCTTTCTGTAATTGCCCTAAAATCATTTTTTTCAGAAAAATCAATAAAATTAACTCCAAAAACTAATAAAATATCGATAATTTCGAAAAAATTATAACGAATAGTATGTGTATATATATATAATTATACACATACTATTCGTAATAATTTTCATAAAATTATAACGAATATTATAAATTATAACGAATATAAAATTAAAAATATAAATTTTACAAAAATAAAAGTATTTTTATTGCTCCTTCTAAACGGTAATAGTCCAGCAATTAGCAAAAGAAAGCGCGTGACCGGTGGTGGGCGAGGGGTGGAGGGCGAGGGGTGGAGGGGTGTAGGAAGTGGTCCTTACTCATTCAAACTTGGTCAGATATAATGATGATGATGATATAGAAAATATTTTTATTTTTGTATGAAAATGAAAATTTAAGAAATATTTTTTTTTTCTTGTTACAGAGGTTGTTGATATGATGTAAATAGTATATTCCCAAAAGGTCTTCAGTAAATTAAAAATGACCCTGTATATATATATATATTTATATATATATATATATTTTCAGTTTTGTATTTTTTTTCAGAAATGAGATATTTTCCCGCGGTAATGCTATAATATGTTGATCCGGATAACCAGCTACCACCATACCAAATTTCATCAAAATCCCTCCAGTGGTTTTTCTGTGACGTGGTAACAGACAGACAGACATACAGATAGACAGACAAAAATTCAAAAAAATATAGATTCGGCCTCTGTATCGATAATATTGTTTATTTCAATAATATTTTCCAAAAAATATTTAATGTACAGATACGGCTTAGTTACAATCTATACATATGAGTATAATAAAATTCTAAACTTTGGATTGAATCCTTTCAGTATCGATCGATATATCGATATTACCTTCTCCTCCCTAGGAGATAATAATATCGATAGCACCTTCAACATCACTACAGTCTAAAATATGCCCCTGCCCCCGACCCGTATGGTGCGATAGAGAGAGTTGCAAGTCTTAGACTCAATTACCTACATTTCCTTTTTGAAATATTGTTTCGGGCGATAACGTTTTCACCCCCCTAAACATTAACGAAATGAGACGATTTTGGTCTCATTAGATTCAGTACACCTTAATCTAGGTCTGTACGTTTTCCTTTTTTTGTAATTCAGTTTAGTTTAATTTAAACAAATAAAAACGCTGGAGGAAGTTTTTAGGTCAAAAATATAGATATTTAGATGCTAATAACTTCTGTCGTACGCAATATTTCAAAAAAATAAAAACGTACGGACCTAGATTTTGATTATATCTACAACATTTCCAAAAATTATGAAAATTAGACTATGTTTAAGGGGGGAAAAACGTTATCGCTTTTTGTATGAAAATTTACAGGTTCACAATCCTCTTAATGCACGTGCATACGTACATGCACGACAAACACAATTTTTCTACAAACCATTGTACCACGGTAATGTAGGTAGGTATCTATATATTATAACACTACCGTGACTGTACTACGAGTAATACCCGAACCCGTTAAACATTCGAAACGTCGGGAATCAAAAATCAAAATAAATCCGCGAAATAACCCGAAAAGTTAGTTTTATTTAAAACTTTTACTCTTCTTAAACATCATATAATATTTCTTTGAAACAGACATTAATTAGGTAAATAAACCAAAACTAGTCTCAAAGTTACAAAACTAGTCTCAAAAAAAAGCACATAAAAAAGTGTAGATGTGATGAAATTTATTTATTCCCAACTTTTTTACTAAATTAAACAACAAATGCTAAGAATTTTTTGATTTTATCATTAAAAGTATACGAACATTTAAATTAAATTTTAACTAATCAATTACTTATATTATTTAATTAAACGAAATTGTTCGGAATGAAAATTTGGCCAAATCGACAATTTTCAGAATTATCGACTGATAAATAAATAATTATTTTTTTTGAACAAGTAAGTAATAGATCAAATTAAACATAGCTGAGCTTCATATAAGTACCTACATAGGTTCTTATATAATACATAACTCTTACCCACCATTTAAATGTGGACTAACTAAACGAGACTTAACGAGAGTGTACTCGGAATAAAGCTAGCCACTGAAGAAATAAATAAGTTTAAAAAAATTAAAACAAAAGCTGTACGAGTAATATCATGACATTGAAATATAAGACAATCGTGAAAATTAAAAAAAAAACCGTGACCTAAATAATTAACGATGTTATCTGAAGTTACTATTTCCGTGATGTATTTAGCAAATCTAAGCAATCCATATTGTTTTGTTTTAAACACCGGTATAGAACCTGTTTATGCTATTTGGGGCCACTATTCTTGGTACAAACGTAATGTGTAGTCGGTACAAGCGATGACCGATGCGAAATGAAATAATAAAATTCTTAGATAGATAGATAGATAAATTCTTTATAGTACACACAAAAGAAGAGTACAGAAGATAAAAATAAAAAATAAATAATAAAGAGGCATGCAAAGGCGGTCTTATTGCTACGAGCAATCTCTTACAGACAGCCTTTGGTTAAAGGATTAGAAGAATCGAAGACGGGACGGTACAATTAACACTAAATGATGATGATGATGTTCTCCTAGCCAATTCCGGCTACGGCGGCCAATCTCGTTGAGACTAGCCAACTGCGCAGGAGATATTATAGTGCACAAGTGTACGCGCAGACACAAGTGCACTCTCTATTCCTGTCACTCTCATACTCCGGTGGGACGACTGCTCGACACGACCGGTGAGAGTTAAGGCGCAGGACCAACGGCTTTACGTGCTCTCCGAGGCACGGGGGCGAAACACCGCCAACTTCCCAACTCTGGGCTGTTACTGAGGCTTATTATACAGAAATACTCAATAACTAAACTTAGCCCGACCCGGGACTCGAACCCAGGACCTCCGGGTGTGCAGCCGTACATGCTAGCCACTACACCACCGAGGCAGTTACACTAAATACAGACATAATGAACTACGTTTACAAACATGAATACATACATAAGACAATATATACATACATGTATAATATATACGTACACAGATACATAAATACATACATACATACATACATACATACATACATACAATCTTACATGATATTATAAATGGAAAGTGTGTTTGTTGTTTTTTTTTATACAGCAAACGGATTACGAGTCGTACGACATTTACGTTTTATATTTGCTGCGAGTATCTACAATAATATGTCTCCGACTTCATAATAGGTACGAGTATGTTTCTTCGTCAACTTGTTGCCACCTTTTTAGCTTCGCTTTTAAGCAATCGCGGTTTTCATTTTTATAATTATTATTTTTTTTATTTACAGCTTTTCAGTGTTGGTCAATCAGACATATTTTGGTGTTTTATTTAACAATTTCTTATTCAAATATTTTTTTAAACATACAAGTTGTTTGGTGTCATTTGTGTCATCAAAGTCATTTGGGGCAATTATTATTAGGACTCTATAATTATTTGACAAACTTATAATTTAACATACAAAAATTCTAAGCTAATTGGTATAATAAAGAAGTTTGAACTACTTAATGAGCGTTCAATTGAATTGGGACTATGACCTGCTTCTTCTTCTTCTTCTCGTGTCGATGGCAAGTTTTAAATGGAGTCAGCCCAAAACTCAGCCACGATCGTTGCTTTGTCAGTGGCATCCATAAGCTCCTGTAAGCTGCAAGTAACAGGGCAAGCAGGGCAGGCCAGTAAGTGCCTCATCGTTTGTGGAACAGTACCACATCTACACTCC